TGCCCAGGCGGGTCTCAAACCCATGGGCTCAGGCAATCCACTCACTTCAGCCTCCCAAAGGCGTGGGATTACAGGCTGAGCCACCGAGCCCGGCTTGGAGTTATTCTTTATTCCTCTCTCTCACACTCCCATACCTGTTCCATTAGGAAAGCCCTTTGTCACTACCACAATATTTGTCGAAAATCCAGTCACTACTAGCATTGCTGCCAGCATCATCGTCTCTCATCTAATGTACTGTAAAAACCTCCCAAACAGTTTTCCCTGTAGCATCTGGAATCCATTCTCAACACACAAAAACCATAGTGATTCTTTTAAAACAGCTGAGATTCTGCAATTCTTCTGCTCAAAACCATTCTCTCATGGCTCCTCAGACTAAAAGCCCTTCTTTCCCCTTCACTCACTCCATTTCTGCCAAACTGGCCCTTTCTGAAGCTGTTTCCACTTTCTAGAACCCATTTCCCCCAGATACCTACTTGGTGTGTTCCCTCCCTCACCTTCTTTAAATCTTTACTCAAGGGGCACCTTCTCAATGAGGCCTGCCACAACCTGCCACTCCTCTCACTCCCTGTCTCTGGTATATTCTAAGTGCCTAGAAGAGTGCCTCACAGAGTACACCATAAGTATGTGCTGAATGAATGAACAAACCAAAATTTGTCATTCTTCTTAAAAATACATACATTGCCGGGCTCGGTGGCTCAGCCTGTAATCCCACCCCTTTGGGAGGCTGAGGTGAGTGGATTGCCTGAGCCCACAGGTTCGAGACCCGCCTGGGCAGCGAGACCTCATCTCTACAATAAATCTAAAAATTAGCCGGGCGTGGTAGCGCATGCCTGTAATTCCGGCTACTTGGAAGGCTGAGGCGGAAGTATCGCCGGAGCCTGGAGCCTGCAGGTCGAGGCTGCGGTGGCCGGGAGCGGCCACTGCACTCCAGTCTGGGCGACAGAGACTCCAACTCAAAAAACAAAAAAATACACACATTGGGAGATGGAGGAAATATACACATATATATTTACGTATGTACTTGTCCATCATATTGCTTTTCATTCTTTTTACAAAGGAGGAAACAGGCCCAGAGAACTTGAATAGTTGGCACAAGGCCACACAATTTATAAATGATAGAACTGGGACTTGAACCCAGGTTTTCTGACTCCAAATCCCAGACTTGTCTCTCATGATCAGGGTAAGGGGAGAGGAAGAAATTAAAAAAAGATAGACAGGAAAAACACTTTGCAGTAGTTTACTTCCTCTTTAGAAGTTGAGAATAAAACAGAATGAAACTCTAAGAGGGGTCAGGATGCCACTCTACTTTGTTCTCTCTACACTAAAGGGAGGGGAAAAGTCTTTTTTTATTGGGCCAAAACAGAAGCATCTATAGACCTTTTTAATTTATATGTTCTGTTTTATGATTTTTACCAGTTAGGTATATACATAGTTTACAAAATCAAGAACATCTGTTAGACTGTTTAAAAACAAATATGCTAACCCTCCCCCTCATTTTTTGCTACCCAGAAACAACCACTTCTTTTTAGCTAATTCTTACAGTATTTGCGTCCCTATCTAAATAAAATTCTTTTTCCATTTTAAGCATTATCTACTGTCTTTCCACTCTGGCAGATGAGGATTTAGCCCTTACGACACATAAAACGTTCCCATTCCCACATGCTTCTAATTTACTTTTTGTTATATTGAAAATTACAGTTAGAAGCCAGGCGCGGTAGCCTGTAATCCCAGCACTTTGGGAAGCGGGGGCGAGAAGATTGCCTGAGTCCAAGGGTTCGAGACCTGCTTGGGCAATTTGGTGAGACCTCGTCTCTACAATAAACAAAAATTGAACCAGGTGTGGTGGCACACGCCTGTGGTTCCAGCTACTTGGAAGGCTGAGGTGGAAGGATAGCCTGAGTCCAGCAGGTCAAGGCTATGGTGGCCATGAGTGTGCCATTGCACTCCAGCCTGGGTGACAGAATAAAACTTAAACTCAAAAAAAAAATTACAGCTGGGCTCAGTGGCTCAGCCTGTAATCCCATGCCTTTGGGAGGCTGAGGTGAGT